CTAGTATAAGACTCCTCGACAGTACGCACCCACAACCTAGTCAGTGGTCGATCTCAACACCTTCAGATTTCACAACGAACGTGTTGATCATTCAGCCACTAGGTCTGGGTTCAGTAATCCACAGTTTCCTATTTCTGACAATTAGTGATATATCACGACTATCCACCGAGATGTTCAGTTGGGATTCGCTTCTCTTCCAACTGTGTGACCCCACTAATCACGAATTTTTATCTGAACTCTATGATGTTTATACCGACGGATGTCACCAACGAGCACTATACAGTAATAGAGTTTGATGTTTATGAGGATTTTACTTTTAAGGTTGTATTTACCATGAACTAACATCATCACTTATTGCTGAGGAGTCCCATGCTAGAACAAAACAGCTGTCCAGTGCTTCTAAATTTTCAATGGTTCATCAACTGATTTTAGTCCATGATGAATAAAGCCTTAAAGACAAAAACCCCTTAAACCCTAAACTAAGTATATCACACTGCCCAGAGCGTAAGAGATGAATAACTGATATATTTCCCAAGTTGAATGCACTTGCAGATATCATGAATACTGTCCAGAACGACCCAGAAGAAAGAGTTCCTTGACCTCAGAATCATCTTTGTTTCTTGAATGCCTTGTGATAGGTGTTATCCGTCATCTGAAAATACGCTAACCATCAGCCACCCTAATGTAGCAGCTTTTTTATCAAATAGTTTATATTTAATTAATTTTTATATATGTCTGAACGAGGATTCATTTTTTACTGATATGAATACATTGTAGATCAGACTATTTTGTCAGTGGACTTTTTTTTATAGTCCGGTATGTTGACTAGAATTTATACAAGGTCTCATCAGGATCAAAGTCATAGTGGCCTCAGATGGTGGGCTAATAATACCACTTACTGGATTGCAGGTTTCACCTGCAAAATGGTTCACAAGCCAATGCTAATTGAGGTGGTCTGATAAATGGTCAACAAATTTTTCTACTTTTCTCATTCAAACCAGTTTGAACTGGATGAAAGAGACAAATGGTGATGACTAATAAACAGTCATCTATCTTTGGTTCAATATGACAGGCATCGAAGTACCTGAAGGCTGAGACCTAATCAGCAGGTGTGTTTTATACCGCAGTTGACTCTCTGTCCGACGGATAATCCAAAGGACCATTTTTACAGTCTTCTGAATACTTACGTAATACCGCATACGTTTACTGCATATATAAAAAACACTATGAAGAAATAACGGAGAAGAATTTCAGCTCAGGAAGAGGATGGCAATGGCTTGATATTTTCTGAGCTTAACTGTTTTGCCGTGTACGCTTCATCATCCCTTATTCACTTTTAACAGCTCAAAGTGAATTTTAAGGTTGTCTATGGAGTTTATTCACACTAATTGTTGTTTACTTTCTTGAATCAAACTGAATAATTTATTCTCAAATGAAATCAGTCCCTGTATTCCACAGTTTTTAATTCATATTGAAGAAGTAAGTAGTTATTTGCATTGTTCCTTGTCAGAAGGATACTTCACCTGTGAAACTTCCATCATAATAACTTATTTGAGAAAACATATTTAAAATATTGTGTAGGATGACATTAAACGAGGCCTTGTCAGCCATTGGTGTAACAAATCTTTGGCATTATTTCCTAATCTGACGACGATTTCAAAGTCGTGAAACCGTAGGAATCAGTTTCAGCCCTATTAAGGTAACCAGTTATTATTACCTAGGATTACAATACCACTATTTAGTTCAGTCACTTCTAGCAGGTCTCGTTTCAAACTGTATGATGAAACTTACTTGATTTTCGAATCCCTGTTTTGATATTTAATCCCTATTAAGATAATATATACCATACTTAGCTTCTGTTGGAGAGGATAGTAATACCGGCATTTTTTGAATGTTTTTACTTAGGCCCAATAAAACAACAAAGGAGATTGAATATTAACCAATGTTTACCAGCATTTGCTCTAAACGTTTTGCCAGCATTTAGCAATTTCATTCATCGGTTAAAGTTCTCATTACAAACCAATGTCAGTTAAAAAATCGTTGACTCAGACAGACCATTGAACTAGTGTTACTTTTCAGTAGTATATTATCATGATGTTAAAAAATCCTCGAAATGCAAAATCAACACCATTTATTTATTCTAATAAATTCAAACATAGAATAATAACAGACCTATCTACGAAGCATCTGGTCACAATGGTCTTTAAGGAGAATTATCATACCCTAATTATCAACTACGCACTCACAGGAACCTAGATACCTGCTGCACAGAATCGTTCTACACATACAAAGTATATGCTATGGACGGACTGAGTTTAACACTAAGCATTCAGTATCTCAACTGAGGTTGATTCATATGTAATAATTGGGACGATTACTAAAATATTTACTAGAAAAATTTAAAAGATCAAGCAATACAGTGTCACAGCGTTTGACCTTATACCCTAGCAGGTATCGAAATTGTTTATAGAAAAAACTGAGAGTATAATAAAGATTCCAAAAATATATGAATCTACGATTTCCTTCTACTATTGCATTTAACGCTTAAGAAAACAATACATTAGTCAGAAAACCTTAAATACTTGAGTAAAGTGCAGCTACCTAATGTCACAAGAAATATTTTACATTTATCGAATTCATATTTCACTTGAGTGTTGAAAGAATTTTAATCTAATATTTACAATTTAAATTTATCACAGAATGTTTCATGTACGTCTGAAAATTCCATACCATTTTCACTTTCAGAAGGAGTTCCTATCCTCAGCTACATAAAGACATCATTAATCAGCTGATAAAAACAATAGTACTTGAGGACAGAATTAATCAGTAATACTAAAGAAAGTGTAAAAATGTGGTGCGAACCGACTTCGATTGAAAACATTGGTGAGCAACAGCAAGCTCAACATTTCAAAGTTTGTGTCGTCGCTATTTAAACATGAAAGCCTTATACTGATCTTGGTGACTAGCAGAGGAATCCAGGCTGCTCATTTCGTCCTATTTGGGACTCGTCAGCTGGATATACATGCACCCCAGTGAGCGATGTTGTTCCCACCGAGGCTGGAATACAGTACCCTACGCTTGAAATGCCAGAGAGTTATCCACTAAGCCACTGGGGCCTGGTAGTCATCTCTTGTGCAACGGGTATCACTAGTTGTTTTGATACTTGCAATTTCTCGTTACTACACAGGGACGATTCACTCAACCTCGACCTGAAATGTAATCCTTGTGTACAACCCGAAGAAAAGCAATAAATTGGGTCAGCCAGTCAAAAGTGAAGCGGATACCAACTGAACACCTAGATGGATAGCCATGCTATATTGTGAATTGTCAGAAGTTAGAAACTTTGAATCATTGAACTCCGTCTGAAGGTGTTGAGATCGACCACTGATTAAGTCATAAGTGCCTACTGTTGAGTAGTCTTATACTAGGATGAAACAGCTGTTCAATGCTCTGAGGTTTTCACTGATCCCTCAAGTGATGTCGGTGCGTACTGAATACAACCTCAAAAATGAAGCCCACCTAAGCCTCAAAGGTTTATCATTAAGAAAAATTAATATAGGTATGAACGAATGATTCTTATTTCCATCATGTAGACAGTAATCTCCTCATGCTTGTTCGTCAACACTACTGACTGTAAATGCAGATAACTTGTAATGTGCTGTAATTTTAACAGCAAATCTTGAGAATGAACTTCTTTCAAGTTCTAAATAACACAGAGGTATTAATTATTTTACGTCCGAGTTATTTGGCACTCATTTAAGTTCCCATATGGCAATAATTTGCTTACCAAAATTAGCATTCTGATCTAAGGTTGTTTTGTACCACTGTTTGTTTTGATCAGTAATTCTTTTCCAAGGAATTTGAAGTCTGTATTCTACATCGTGAATTATATTGCATAAGACATCTAAACACCGATGTTATGCACCCCAAACTGTTATGTCTGTTAATTTAATAATTAACAAGTCTAGGTTACATCTTGTAACAGATAGTCATACTAGTACTAAGATGGAAACTCCTTGGAACATAACGGTCTCATTAAATAAATAATTCAGAAACCTTTGAGACAATACAAATGCCCCCAAACTGCCAGCTTCACTCAAGTCTGCTGTAAGTTTTCATTAATTATATACTACATAGCGGCTTTCCTATTGACTGTTCTACTGAAATGACACTGAGAAAGAAGGCGATTTAATTTCTTATTTTATATCTTAATCGCCAGAACCCAAATATGGAACATACTGTTTTCCTAGTGTGACACAGTTAAATCCTGTGAAGGGTGAGCACGTTTCACTAAGCTGCAGCTGCGCCCATGGAAGTGGTAACAGTATGAGCTACATACTACAACAGGGATCATCATTACGAAGGTAGTGATCAATAAATAAACCAACTATTTGGGTTTTCTGAACAAGACATATCCATCTATCGCAAATTATAGTCCCTTATTTCTGAAAAACGTGTTAAAACGTTGATCAAGTATTAAAGAGCAATAAATCTGGAGGAAAATTTCTTGAATGCTATATAATACATTCTTGTATAAACTAACTGAAAATTCTACAATTCAAACGACTAACTATTGCTAGGTGTAACCAAAAAAGAAAATTATGAAGAAACTACTTCATGTACACAGATTTTACCTCCACTTTTGCTAAAAGGTATATTTCACCTAAATAAATAAGAAAAACTGTATAATAAGTTGTGTTTGATGTCTTAACATTATTATTGTCATCATCATCATATAGTGTTTAGTTTTCCTCACGGGATATAATTTTTTCAAATACCATATATACACGATTGTACAGCTTGAAAATAAATTCGTTGAAAAGAGTCTCTTCTCTGAATATCTTGTTCTTAATAGAGAACATTGACATTTATACTTTCTAATGTCATCATTAATAAATTTCCTGAAGATGTCGTATCCATCTTTTCAGTTTTATCACTAATAGAAAACACACTCGAAAATAAAATTAAACAAAAATAAAAATTACCAAAGAATAACTCACCTCAAGTGAAATATTTGTTTTATAAAAAAAGATTTTGAATTCTGATTGATTGTCCACCGTCTAAAGATTGATAATCATCTACTTCATGTAAACTTGAGTAATCGACAGCAGAGTAAGCAGGTTTTCAATCTTCAAACTAGACTGTAAACTCGATATTAGGATCAGCAAACAGTTTGTGAATCTTCGTCTCTCTTTTTTTTTTACTTCTGTTGGGTGAGTACACTAATTGATGTATTTTGTTGCCGATTACTGTGTTTGGTCAATTATTTGCAAAACTTTCTAGTAAATAATAAGAGGTCTCCTACTATTTATTGTCAAGACCGTGAGAACTAGTATTTCTGTCTATCTGCTTGAGATTCAATCACCATGTATATTGCACCATTGAACAGGCTCCTCCTCATTTCAAAATAGATCGAGTTTGTGCTTAGCAATGCAATTCATAAATAGAACTGATATGCTTATCACTACATATATCATCAGTAGTAAACAGTAGCTTTAGTAACATTGTTAACATTGGCAATAGTGATGTTGTTGTAGAAGGGGACGAGTTTATGTCAAGCCGGCGTATGAAGAGCAGTTGTCGAAACTTAATTTATCTACCCCTCTACTCATTTGCCACTCCGCCACCCACCCGCCCACACACCACATGGTAAAGAATTTTATCAAACTTTAATGTCATTCTATCCCTGTGTTTCTCACCATATAAAAACGTATAACAATACATACAAACAACCTCTACGTGTGTATATTTATTATTTGGCGTAAACAAACAGCCAGTTCTCTGGCCCGGTTTCACATGCAAATTTAGTGCGGACTGCAACTAGGTTGGTTATGGCTGCAAGTCGTTTACCGGGTATCTTCAATTCACCACCACCCTTCGACGGTAAGAAAAACTTCATCAGATGTAAACAAATAATTTATGCATTTAGGGGATAGGAAACGGATAAATATCTTCCCTTAAAACTCTACCCATTTCACATCCAAAGTCAAACGGCTTACAGTTTGAACCAGTGGAACATTTGATAAGAGAACAAATTAAGTTTCAAAAGTTATGACGGTTACGAATCATTATTATTTGAAATTTATGGAAGACATTTACAACAAATAATACGGGGTGAAGATCAGTTAACCATTTCCTAAAAATAGTATACACCCTCATAAGAAGTAATCTTAGTTTAATCACTGATGCATGGTATAAGTTAATCACCTTTGTCGCCGGTCTGTCTAAACACCAATACATCGTTCAATCAAGAATTAGGCGTCAGACTGTCTATGGCAAAAATACACATTTGATTGGGTGAGGTGAACTACCAATACAATATCAGCATGTGTATGCAACAATACACAAAATCAAATACAATACACAGTTCTCATGGTGAAGCTACACAGCAGCAGGTGCCTGTCTGTCTAAGTGACTAGACAGTTTGGAGCCAGAATGACCGGTGTATACGATTGGTTTATTGCTACAGAGAGCTATAGAACTAGATTACTTAGGCTATATCTGTCCAACCTTTTGATTTTGCATCATGGATGAAAACAAAATCCCTGGTAGACTTTCTGAAACCAGAACTTGATTACAAAACGTGTCGGAGAACGTAGAAAGCTACATACTATTTCAGTGGTTCGACTAAACCTGAATTCATTGGTACCTTTACAGTGATAATAATTTATTTTGCAGTAGTGTACTTGCTGAGTCATCGGCTGGCGTCTTTCTCTTTTCCTTTCCAGATTCTCTTGGTCACCAGTAAATTCAGTTTCTCTACGCCCCCCGCCACAATAACTTGCCTATATACGGGCTAGACTGTACAATAGTAACATTGAGCAAATGTCTATTAAATAGACTGAATACATGAATGTACACTTATCACCATGAGAAATGCACCCGGTGTACTTGAGCAGATTTAAACAAGGAAGTATATTATTCTATCTGGAGGTTTGTGGAGATTTATTCATTGATTTCAAGTCGGAATTCATCATGGACTGATATCAATTGGACGAATGTTGGAAACCTGGACAGCTGTTTCGTCTTTGTATGGGACTCATCAGCAGTGTGCACCCATGACCGAACTCAGGTTTCCAGTGGTCCTTAACTGATGTCGGTCCATAGTGAACTCCAACCTGAGATGTGACAATCGATCACTGTATCCGTAGATTCCTATAGTGACGTAGTTTGACCATACTCGAAATTTTTATTGTAATTTCTCATTGATTACGATAGTTAAGCGAATCAAACCGTTCTTGATGATATACTGGTTACTGTATGAATATCTTGACATTCACTGAAAATTTGTTGTGATCTAATTTTCATCTGATGTCAGTCCATGATGAATTCCAACCTGAAATCAGTCAATAAATTTACACAAAATTCCAGATTGAATTAATTCAGTGCTCATTAGTGACTAGCTTCGAGAGGTGATTCTCGAAGTTGCAATGAGAAGTCATGACCAGTGTAGCCAACCAAGTTGGACATGAGGACAGCTACTCAGCAACGATACTGGGCGGAGGTTTCGCTATATCGTGAACTGACAGAGTTGGAAATATGGAACACTGGATTCCGACTCAGTGGCTCAATGGTAACGTGTTGGTCACAGGACCTGAAGGTCCCGAGTTCGACCCCTGGGGGTGTGCGGTCATGGGTGTGCACTGCTAAGGGATCCCATAGTAGGACGAAACGGCTCTCCAGTACTCCCAGGTTTTCAATTTTCCTCCAACTGATGTCAGTCCATAATGAATTCCAACCTAAGAAGTATATTATTGTTGAATTTCATCTCGCAATGGATAGACTGCTTATCAGTTACCAGAACACACCTGGACTTGTGAGTGCAATTTATTGCTTTCTACGAAATCGAATTCACAGAACTGTCTTAGTCTCGTTTAATATACTAGCTTCAGGTTTTCAGTGTCAAAGGATATTAAACATCTATGTCCCTTGAACACATCATGCATGTTATTCAGATTGTACTTTTGAAGGTTATGTTCGTTAGAGATCACTTTTCAGCAAGAATCAAAATGACGAGAAGGGAAGAGTTAGTATTTTATTTACTTATTAGTGTCTAAAACACACGTTCTCAGTGAAACATGAGTAAATTAGATACTTCAACTTAGTCTAAAGCTATTACGAATAATTTGGTATAGTAGGAGAAATTTAGTTTTGCCATTAGCCTACCTAGTTTACTGAATCACTCAATCTAAACTTACAAGCAGATAGAAACAACATTCAGTGGCAATTAATGTATGAAAGACCTATTACTGACCGTCTACCAGAATAATAATAACTGTAGATGACAGTTAATAATACTGACCTAGTAAAAGTAGACAGAAGTCTAGCCAACTAAGCCTCTGTTTCTATCTAAATTACGATCCATTAAATCAATTCAACAGACTTCTTAGTGTACCCGTACCTAGCTTATGCACTGATTATTTATTAGTTCACACCTTGAACAGCAATAACAGCATAAACAAAACTTGTCATCTATTTTAAAAAAGTATTTATGAATAAGATAGCGCATTCTGTCGGCGCAGTTGTTTCTTTGATAAATGAACTATAAGTCATTAACTAATAGATACCTTCATTTTTCCAAGGAACTACTTTCTCTAGCCTTGTTTCTTCCCCCTCCTCTACGTTTACAGAAAGTTTTCAATTCAATAAAGAATACTTTGAGCTTTTCACACCAACATAAGGCTGTTTTAGTTGCCATCAAAGTGATTCTATGTTTCTAAATCATGTTCTCAAGGTATGTGTCTAGACACCTGTGTACCGTGTACATTTCGACCTTTGCCATCTCTATGAATAAGGTTAATCAGTGAGCTCAATGGATAGGCTTATAAGTTAAAGAAATGAAGATAGTAATAACTATTTCGAAGTTAATGGGATTTCATCTTCAAGGTAGTATTCGTCATGGACTGACAGTTGGAGAACCACTGAAAATCCGAGAAGAGTGGACTTCTTTTTTGTCCTGACATTGAACTGCTCAACAGTGCATTCACTACCCCCTAGTAACCAAATTCAACACCCTCAGGTTTCATGGTGAACGCGTGAATCATTCAGCCACTGGGTCAGAGATCAATTATCCACAGTTTCCCACTTATTTTAAATGAAATTTTTAACTGTGTTTAAATCATATTTGAGAAAATTGATATCATTGCACTTTCCATCTATAACGTGGTCACGTTCTGAATCCAAAAGTTTTAGGAAACATGGATAGTGGCTAGCAGTGGAATCCAGGGTGCTCATTTCGTCCTATTTAGGACTCGTCAATTGAGTGTACCCGCCTCCCAGTGAGTGATATTGTTCCCACTGGGATTCGGACTCAGGAGCGATCGCTTCAAACGCCAGCGCGTTATCCACTACACCACCAAGCCGCGATAACCACTTCTCGTGCGACGGGTATAGTTTTAGTGTTATTGCTAGTATTATACCGTCGTTGATTGGGCCGAACTGATTGGTCCCTATTGGCATATGGGCTCCTGTGCGGATGCCTCGATATATCCATCGTACAAGAAGTGGCTATCGTGACTTGGTGGTGTAGTGAATAACGCGCTTGCATTTGAAGCGACCGCTCGCGGGTCTGAATCCTGGTGGGAACAACACTCACTGGGAGGCAGGTACACTCAGTTGACGCATCCTGGATTCCACTGCTAGCCACTTTCCATCTTTACTATGACTAGAACACAGGTATATTGAGGCATCCGTACAAGAGTCCATATGCTAATAGGGACCAATCAATCCGGTCCAATCAACGGCGGTACAATACAAGCAATAACAGCAAATGTTGTACTTCTTCTGCATCTATTTTCGAATTTACGCTCTCACACACATATTATTTGCCACTTAAAATTTAATAAACTAGTTTATAAATGACGTTGTTGGTGTTTATATTACGTGGATGCAGTTTTTGTCACAGGAAAAAACATAGATTCTAATAAAGCTTTCAATGTCACTCATCTTACTCCAAAAACGATACCACATGTAGCTCAACAACGCCTGCTCAACACAGCGGGGGTGTTGCAATAAGATTGATCAAGCTTCACCTATGCATTCAGAAAGAACATGTTCAAGCGTTACTTCTCACTTGGCCTTTAGTAAACTAAAGACCACGCCTACCATTTTATTAATTATCTTTTTGTTCACTATCATATCATCCATTTGTAGATCTATTATCCCAATATTGACTAATTTAAAATAGATAAATCTATTTCCTTACAGTCTCTAAATCTCCCTCCATTTTGAAAATGTATTCACCCCTAACATGGCTTGTTTTTACGAATATGCCTTTAATTTGTGATAATATGATGCTGTTAGGTGAAGATGGTGATAAAGTAGATGATTTTGATGGTGTTGTGTTCTTTGAGATGGATGGTTTCATCTTGAAGCTTTCATTTTCATACTAGACATCATCATCGCAAACTTCAGAAAGAAGTGACAAGTGATCTATTAGCTTGTCCTGATGGCCTTATGTGATAAGCTGCTAAGTCACTTGTGGAAATAATGGTAATAATAATAAGTACTGTATTCCAAACAACATGTATGGTACAGTATGGAATTTTCAGCATGGAATATTCTAACAAATTCCCCTTCCGTACAAATTTTTAGAAGAAATAATTATTACGTCTGCATAGTGTTAATAATAACAGTATTGAAGGTATAAGAGTAAAACGGGCAGCTAGTGTTACAGTAGTATCTGTTCTCGATTCGGAAATTAACACGAAATCGAGCGTAATTTTGATGGTGTCAGTTCAGTCAGCAAGCACAAATTCACAATCCTAGGTATCCTAGGAATTGTAACGTGGTGTGTTTTTGAGCATTTACAAGTCCATTTCCAACAGACGGAACGTTTTTCCCTAGTTTTGTTCTTAGCTAGAGAAACGAAAGTTTGAAAACATTTTAGAAACGTCCGAGAGTACATGGTGCGTTCAGGAGACATTTAGAAGATCAAAGCAAACTGAAAGGGAAGAATTTGATGGAAGATAATCGGTGGGAAGTTTTTTGGTAGCCCAAGACTTAAGAAGGCCACCTCAAATACCCCATAGCTCACTTCTTTTTGAAGTTAGTGCTGATGATGTTGTCTAGAATGAATAGGAAAACAGTATCAAAAAGGTACAGAGTCTTCTGAACATCTCTGATGACGAATTGAGAATGTTTGCAATAGGGTTTTCGCCACCTAAATGAAAACCGTTTCTCTTGGACTGATCTGCTTTGATGCTTGGAGTAGCATAA